GAGGTTAAGGCCTTGCTTACATCCAATGCGGTGTTAGCTCATTTTAATGAGCAGTTGCCAGTGTGTCTGGCTTGTGATGCTTCCCCCTACGGTGTGGGTGCTGTACTTAGCCATCTGATGGCTGACGGGACTCAGGTCCCTGTGGCTTATTATTCTAGGACATTGTCTGCTGCTGAGCACAACTATGCTCAAATTGATAACGAGGCTTTGGCTGTTGTGGCTGGAATTAAAAAGTTCCATGATTTTCTCTATGGCCGCCATTTTACGGTCATTACGGACCACAAGCCTTTGCTGGGGTTATTCACTACATCTAAGCAAACACCTCACATCCTGTCCCCTCGTATGCTGCGTTGGTCCATCTTTCTGTCAGCTTATGACTATTCACTGGTTCACAAGCCTGGCAGGGAAATGGGCCATGCTGATGGCTTAAGTAGGCTGCCATTGCCTACTGTGGAGCCTGATCCCGCTCCTGCTGTATACATATTGTCCATTCAGGAGTTGCCTGAGTGTCCCCTTAATGCTAGGGATGTGGCTGCTGAAACTGCCACTGATCACACGCTCAAACGCGTGCTGACATGGGTGCTGTCAGGTTGGCCTGACAGGTGCCCTGAGGAGGATTTTCAACGTTTTTGGGTCAAGAGGCACGAGTTGTCCACTTTCAATGGCTGCCTCCTCTGAGGATCTAGAGTTGTGATCCCGGCCTCATTGAGGGCTAGAAGCTTGCTTTCTTTACATGAGGGCCACTCTGGGATTGTCAGGATGAAGGCGCTTGCGCGCAGCCATTTGTGGTGGCCTGGCATTGATCGGGCCATCAAGGCCCAGGTACATGGGTGTCATGCATGTCAGCAGTCCAGGCCGGAAATGCCCCAGGCCCCTGTGCATAGGTGGGAGGAAACACACACTCCATGGTCTAGAATACATGTAGATTATGCTGGGCCCTTTCAGGGTCAATTCTTCCTGGTTGTTGTTGATAGCCATTCCAAATGGCTGGAGGTTGTGCCTGTGTCATCTACCACTGCTGCCAAGACCATTCAGGTGTTGAGAAACATTTTTGCTGCACATGGGTTGCCAGATGTTCTAGTATCGGACAATGGTCCTCAATTTACTTCTACTGAGTTTCAGGGGTTTCTACAAGCCAACATGATCTGCCACGCTGCTTCGGCTCCTTTCCATCCTTCCACCAATGGTCTGGCTGAATGGATGGTCCGCATTGCCAAGGACGCCCTCAAGAAGCTGACTTACGGCAATTGTCATCACAGGTTGGCTGACTTTCTTCTAGCCCATCGTACCACACCGTGCACTGCCACGGGTAAGTGCCCGGCTGAACTCCGTTGGGGTCGTCGGCTCGTGACTAAATTGGACAGCTGCATCCGGAGCATGTAGCTTCACAGGTGTCTCAGCCATGCCCACCACGGGTCCTGCGTGAAGGTGATCCTGTCTGGGCCAGGAACTACGGGCCTGGACACCTCTGGGTCCCGGCTGTGGTCTGCAAGGTCTCGGGGCCTCTGTCCTACGAGGTGTCCCTGGAAGACGGCCGCGTTCTTCGCCGCCACATTGATCAACTACGTGTGAGGCGGGACTCGCCTAGGGTTCCTCCTCAGTGTCCTCTGGGGGGGAGGAGGAATGGGAAATGCATTCTGGGAATCAGAATCAACAGCCAACGATGGTTGTGGGGGACAACACGGGTACTCAACACCCACTTTCCACAGGAGATTCAAGTAGAAATTCATAGGGCAGGGGGCAAACAGACACCCCCACACACACTCCAGCCTGGGAGTCCCACCGGAGGTATACTAACTATCCACACCTCACAAACAATACTCCTGACACGGAGAATGACTGGGAGCATATTCACAACTCACAACATACAAGAGAGCAGGCAAAACAAAGGGGGAACACGTCCTTTGCAGCAATGGCTCACAGAAGAATGTCCCCACGCATTAGGGCTAACAGGGAGGTATCCCTGGACCCTAGCACTACAGAAAGTAACCAGGAAAACCACATTCCATCAGGAAACATGGAGATGAGTTCAGAGGGGTTGGAAAACTCCATAGGTGGTAGGTCAACCAGGTATAGTGAACAGCAGAGTCCTGACTTCTCGAGCCTAGGAGACGGGCAGGAAAGTCAAACAGAAGTCACGAGACAACCACAAGTTAATTCACCTAGTGTGGGAAGCAACGGGGAAAACACTACAAGCTCCCCAGGTCTGAAAAGGTCGCTAAGGGTCAAAGGCCCTCCCAAATACCTTGCAGATTACGTAAGGTGAGCATGTATATATTAATAACTTGAATTAGAAGTCCAGACTGGTTGACTCTATGGAAATGGGGTTGGGGCACATCGGGTCTCTGTACGACGGAACAGCCCCACACCTTACACACACAGTGTGACATTAATACAACAGTTATTTACACAAAACCTTACTATGGGGGCGTCCATGTTGGGCGCAGTATTATTTCATCTAGGGGGGAGGGGTGTTGTGTCCTGAGCCTGCAAAAGCAGGCTCGGGACGTTGCAAGAGTCCCGGGCATTTGCAAAAGCTGCCCGGGACCAGACTGAGTGGCGCCAGCCTTGCGCGCATGCGCAAGGTGGGAAAAGACCGCCTTGTGATTGGTTGGAATTGCCCGGGGATCAGAAGGTATAAATAGAGGCCTGCGTGCCTCTGCTCGGGTTGTTCGTAGATTGGAAGCAGAGAATAAAGACCTGTTAGAAATGCATCGTCTCAAGCGCCATTATTCTCCGGACTTAACAACCTCCAAGGTCCCTTCCAACTCTATCATCATTATTATTATTATTAAGGTCACAAAAAGTGATCACATGACCCCAGGACATTGCAACCAGTTGTCAAGCATCCAAAAGCAAATCACGTGAACATGGGGATGCTATAATGGTCATAAGTGTGAAAATGATCATAAGTCACTTTTTTGAGTGCCATTGTAACTTCAAATGGTCACTAAATGAACTGCTGCAAGTCGAGGACTATCTGTATTTCAAATTATTTACATGCATACTTATATATACATAACCATTTCCTTCCTGGGTAAGGAATTATACAAAGCGCAGAAAAAGAGTAAGAAATACTAAGCCAAACAAATTGCAACAAGAAAAAGGTAATTAATGAAAATAGCTAAATATTCACCAACTTCTCTATAATGCTGTATCCTAGCAAAATTTTTGCTTCTACCATCTGTACATAAATTTATAAATTTTATTATTTAACTTTATCCCGTTTCCTTTTGAGGATCTCATTAACTCCATCCAGTCCTGATAGTATCTTTAAATATATTAACTCTTAAATATGTGTTTTGTGATTCAGTCCTCATTTATATTGTCTTCGATGTACTTGCTTCCTATGTCTTCATTTACTTTTGTATTCAATCAATAATCATTCAACACCCCATTAATTCTTAAACCTATTCTTGTTTTGCCACATGTAGTTTTATTATGCAGCTTATTTTCATAGCAGTTAGATTTTACATTTCTTCTGACAAGATTAGATTTGACTTCCATATAGCAAAGTTGGTAGAATTATGTTGCAATGCAGTCATTTTCTTCTTTTGATAAATATTAATTTTTCACAGTGAAGCACATAAAAGTCCGCATCACTCTGCCAATATCTGAATATCTTAAAAGTTCTTTTTTTCTCATCTTTGGGAATGCACATTTATTTTTACCATTTTTATATAATTAGTGCATATTGTGGTATGAAATATCTAGAGGCAAGCAGTCTAGGAAACCTGGTTGTGAGATATTAATTTCAATATCATCTTTAATGTTGAGTAGATCTAAAACACTTAATACTGCTATTGCCGCTAAAGTCCTCACAACAACAGCTTACTTTTATATAATATATTTGAGAAGCTTTGGAATTTGGATTTCATTCTCCTAAGGCAGGAATGTTAGATCCTAATAATAAATATTAGAGAATTATTATTGATAATACTGTTTTAAGCAAGGTACTCTAACAAATATCTATAAAAGAGTTTGTCAATTTTTCTCCTTGGGTAGAACATATCCAAAAGAAATCCACTGCATCATGACGCACCATTTGTTCTCATCCCCTGCCATTTAACTTGACTGTGTGCCATTTCAAAGCCTTAAAATAGTGGCACATATAGAAGGGGTCTCTTTTAGCTCTTAAAAAATGCTACCTTCTTCAGTAGAGGGATCAGAGAATAAACAATATCTTTGCTAAATGAAAAAAAAATATTATTGGTAAGGTTGCATAACACAGGACTGAAAAGATATATGTGATAAAAAGGGAAAAATTATTTTAATGAGGCAAAAAAATAATTGGGGATAACAAATTACCAGATTGAAAGTACATATTGTGCAGAAATAAAAATAGTTTTTATCCTCTTTTCAAAAATAACTTCAATGTGTAGGTAGAAGAAACTGTTTTATTTCCCCTGGGTGAAAAACTTTCTGTAGTGAATAGAAAAATACAAATGTTTTTCATTTCATAGAATGACAAATCTTTTCAAAATTAAAAACTAAGCCTCCTGCATAACTGACTGTGCTGTCTTTCAGAAATATATTTTGGTTGCATTTTTGTTCTTTTGTTAATCTTTTCCATTAATTCCATGATAGAATTCTTTTATCCAGTACAAAGTCTGGAAGAAAATGTGCTATATCTAAAAAAAAAAAAAAGGATTGTTCTGATGGAGTCCTGCAGTCAATATTTATCAGAAGAAAAACTGAACATTTTAACTTTTGTGTTTCTAAGAAAAGAACTTCCACCCACACTGAAACACTTGGACCTCCCATCTTGAGGAAAATGCACCTGGGAGCTATTTTCAAACTGCCCAACAAATCAGTGTTGTTATTGTTTTTCTTTTAGGCAGCAATTCCAAGGGCGGCCAAGCACTTTACATTTATTTAACAATTTTTACACAAAGGTTTAAGTAACATAATTATACTGTCAGATCCAAATTTTGGTGGCCCTGACACTCAAGAGTACCAACCTGCCTAAGTAATCCTATCCCCTTATAGTCACTCTCCCCATTTAAATTCTGATGGATCTCATTTAATTCACTCTATTATCCTGGATTGATGGGATGTAATGTGAAGGAACTGCTAATAATTAATAATAACAATATTATCCACCTCAGGTGACAGAACTTAGTGAACGTGGCAGTTTTCAAAAACTAAGTCATTGAAAAAATTATCTCCGAAGGCACTGGGAAATCAATTCTGTATTGTTGCCAAGAAAATTAGTCACTAGGAATCAAGTTCAACTCAAAGGAGTCTTTGCCTTTTAATGCAAAAACAACAATGCTAGGAGTTTTTGTGAACATGATAGACATTACTCTGAGTTTAGGAAAGAAGGCCAATGTATTTTTCCCCAAACTATCAACCTATATTTCTTTCAAATTTCTAGGGTTATACTGTAACCGGACCTGGGATGGATGGTTGTGTTGGGATGATACACCAGCTGGAGAATATGCTGACCAGAATTGTCCCGATTATTTTCAAGACTTTGATCCAACAGGTATAGTACCTTTGTTACTTTCAACCAATCGGTGGAATATGGAAATGAAAATATAATTTTTATCAATGTTAAAAGTACAGTTGATTTGCATTTACATGTCCACAACTAGTTATTGTACATACGCTGGAGCAGTTATCTTTTGTGATTTTTTTCTGATTTCTCCAAGCTTTTGATGCAAATTCTCTCATTTAAAAAATACATGCATTAGCAGGGCAGTAGAGAAAATTACTTGTAAATACTCCTATATAGGACAAAAATGCACAGAACAGAATGTGTACAGATAAATTTGTAATCTGCAAACAGAAAATAACCTTTTTTAAAAAAAATATTAATGCAAATATTTGCAAATATAATGCAAATATTATAGTAGTGAAATCAAGCAGTCATTCCTGTTTAAAATGCAAATATTACAGTAATAAAATCAAGAAGTCTTCCTGTTTAAAATTAAGGTGAGCAGGTTAAATAGCTTTTATTTATAGCATTACTGAGTTCTATTCACACCTGCACTGAATGTTCAGGATATTTTGCTTTAAATCTTCTTTGTCAATTGACTCTGCAATCCAGAAAATAGCATTATTTTTCATGTCAGTCATTTTTATCATAATTCTATTGGTAGAGAATTAAATAGCAGTTACTGAAACTGGTTCATTCATGTGACATGAATCTCATTCCTAGTTTTTTTTTGTATTTTATGATGAAAGGCTGCTGTATAAACTGCAACATAATTCTCAAACTTATAATACTTTATAGGGCAGGCATGTCAAACTGCCGGCCCACAGGCCAGGTGCATCATGCTGAAATCGCACCCACCCCATTGCTGGAAACGTTTGATACATCACACAATGTCACATGACATCACAAGTTTGACATGCCTGTTATAGGGATATAGTCAACACAATCAATATGATAGCCACAATAGTGTGATTGAAATTCTCCCTATTGTATATGTACTATCAAGCTTCAGTTGCACCATCATGTACAGTATTGTACCTTTTTTAAACCATACCTTGTAAACATCACCGACATTTTATGAAGTCATCAAGTGTTTAGTTCTTATTATTATTTCTAAAATATTCATAGCAATATATATACTATCTGTATTTTCCCCAAAGATTGATAAATTGAACCTTCAAATAAATTATTAAAGAGAGACACTTTTGTCCAATCTACCATTATGTAGTTCTCATATACGAATGACTATACATGTTTGTTCAGTTTGACTGCTGCTTTCTATTACAGCAAAATTGTACTCTGTTATATGGGTGCAGATAGAAAATGTTTAAGTCTGAACTTCTATATCTGAAATACCAGTTGACAGATGGCTAGAAGGTGAGATAAAGCTAATCAAGTTGAAAAGAAAATGGGATTTCCACAGTTACAGAGTGGGAGTGAGAGTTTTCTGCCAAGGGATTGCTTTCAGAATTAATAATGTCTTGAAGATTAAGATGCCAATTAGAGCCAATCCACATTCACATTTTTTTCCAATTATAGGTTTCTGTATTGTGCTATACCATATCATGATTGGTTGACTTTTGGTTTAGAATATTGTATGAATGGGCATATTGACTTGAAAGTCATGTCTTCATTTCTTTATTTGTAGCTTGTTCAGTAAACTATACTGTTAAAAATATATTGTGCTCAGCAGAAGGAATGGGTAGTGTGTGACAAACTGAAGAATCTATATTTCCATAGTTTGTTTTTTGCACTTTCAGGCACCTATTAAAATATACACACTTCTGATTTCTCTCTTGTTTTTGTAATAGCACCTTATGCAATGGAACAGCCTGTTCTAAAGACACTTAAAGTAAGCAAATGATTGCTGGCAATCTTAGGCTATAGATTGCAACGTCAGTTAAAGAGAATAGGGAAGTCTAGCAGGATTAGCTCCAGTTTCCCATACCAGATCTGGACTGTTAAGTCCGGAGAATAATGGCGCTTGAGACGAAGCATTTCTAACAAGTCTTTATTCTCTGCTTCCAATCTACGAACAACCCGAGCAGAGGCACGCAGGCCTCTATTTATACCTTCTGATCCCCGGGGAAGTTCAACCAATCATGAGGCAGTCTTTTCCCGCCTTGTGCATGCGCACAAGGCCGGCGCCACTCAGTCTGGTCTCAGGCAGCTTTTGCAAATGCCCGGGACTCTTGCAACGTCCCGAGCCTGCTTTTGCAGGCTCAGGACACAATACCCCTCCCCCCTAGATGAAATAATACTGCGCCCAACATGGACGCCATCATAGTGATGGTTATATAGTTAACTGATAAGCTAAGTTACACAGTGTGTGTAAGATGTGGAACCGTTCCGTCATACAGAGACCCAATAGCCCCAACATCGTTTACGTAGAGTCAGCCAGTCAGAACCTCTAGTTCAGTGATTGCAGTTCACATGCTCACCTTACGTAATCTGCAAGGTATTTGGGAGGGCCTTTGACCCTGAGCGACCTTCTCGGACCTGGGGAACTTGTAATGTTTTCCCTGAGGCTTCCCACACTAGGTGAATTTCCTTGTGGTTGTCTTGTGACTTCAGTTTGACTTTCCTGCCCGTCTCTTAGGCTTGAGAAGTCAGAACTCTGTTGATCACTATACCTGGTTGACCTACCACCTATGGAGTTTTCCAACCCCTCTGAACTCATCTCCGTGTTCCCTGACGGAGTGTGGTTTTCCTGGCTCCTTCCTGTAGTGTTAGGGTCTAGGGATGCCTCCCTGTTAGCCCTTATACGTGGGGACATCCTTCTATGAGCCATTTCAGCAAAGGACGTGTTTCCCCGCTGTTTTGCCTGCTCTCTTGCATGTTGTGAGTTGTGAGTATGCTCCCAGTTATTCTCCGTGTCTGGAGTATTATTTGTGAGGTGTGGATAATTAGTATACCTCCAGTGGGACTCCCAGGCTGGAGTGTGTGTGGGGGTGTCAGTGTGCCCCCGTCCCCATGTATTGCTACCTGAATCTCCTGTGGAACTTGGGTGTTGAGAGCCCGTATCGTTCCCCACAACCGTTGTTGGCAGCAGATTTTGATTCTCAGAATGCATTCCCCCTTCCTCCTCCCCCCCAGAGGAGACTGAGGGGGAACCCCAGGCGAGTCCCGCCTCACACGTAGTTGATCAATGTGGCGGCGAAGAACGCGGCCGTCTTCCAGTGACACCTCGTAGGACAGAGGCCCTGAGACCTTGCAGACCACAGCCGGGACCGAGAGGTGTCCAGGCCCGTAGTTTCTGGCCCAGACAGGATCACCTTCACGCAGGACCCATGGTGGGTGTGGCTGAGACACCTGTGAAGCTACACGCTCCGGATGCAGCCTGTCCAATTTAGTCACGAGCCGACGACCCCAACGGAGTTCGGCCGGGCACTTACCCGTGGCAGTGCACGGAGTAGTACAATGGGCTAGAAGAAAGTCAGCCAACCTGTGATGCCAATTGCCGTAAGTCAGCTTCTTGAGGGCGTCCTTGGCAACACGAACCATCCGTTCAGCCAGACCGTTGGTAGAAGGATGGAAGGGAGCCGAAGCAGCGTGGCGGATCATGTTGGCCTGTAGAAATCCCTGAAACTCAGTAGAAGTAAATTGAGGACCGTTATCTGACACCAGAACATCTGGCAACCTGTGTGCAGCAAAAATGTTTCTCAACACTTGAATGGTTTTGGCAGCTGTGGTAGAAGACACAGGCACGACCTCCAGCCATTTGGAATGGCTGTCAACAACAACCAGGAAGAATTGTCCCTGAAAGGGCCCAGCGTAATCTACATGTATTCTAGACCATGGAGTGTGTGTTTCCTCCCACCTGTGTACAGGGGCCTGGGGCNGTTCCATCGACAATGGAACTCCCTGCAATTTCACCTTAAGAGATAGTTTCTTTTTAAGGGGTTTGTGTGTGCCTATTCTTAAAATGTTCCGGCGTGTTGCACAGAACCCCACCCTGTTTTGGCTGGGCACCCTGGTACCTTTCAGATTCAATTCTTCCTTCGGTTGTACCTTCTGTCGACCCAGGCAGACTGCAGCAATGTGGCCTTTCTTTCCGCACGCACGGCAAATGGCGGAACGGAACCGACATTCCGCTCGCTTGTGGCGTCCACCGCATCCAAGGCAACGAAGCTCAGCTGGGCCCTTGTCTTGATGATCTTTGGACCTCCTCCCAGCTGCTTGGTAAAGCTTATCCACCTCTTCTTCAGGATCTTCTTCCGACTCCTCGCGCACGTCTTCCTTGTGAATAGTGGCGGTCTCTGGAGCGTTTCGCTTAGGCCGCATATTCATGACCGCCCCACCTGCAGCTTCTTCTGCTGAGACCTCTCGCAGAGCATCTTGGAAGGAGACATCTTCCCTGGCGAACAGTCTCTGCTGTAAGTCTGTGTTCCGCAGTCCACACACAAAACGATCACGCAGTCTTTCCTCTAAGTCCTTGAAATCACACGGTTTAGCTGCTCTTCTCAAGGCCGTAACGAATTCTTTTGCTGACTCCCCAACTTGCTGATCTCTTTGTTGAAATGTGTGCCTCCAAGCCATAACAGATTGCTTGGGCTGGAAATGTTCCTTTAAAACTTTCTTCAGATCGGAGTATGATACCGTTTCCAGCGAGTCCAGGGCGATTAGGCTCTCGGCAATCTCAAAGGCATCTTGCCCACAAACGCACAACAATGTGGCAGCCTTTAAGCCTTCCTCCCTTATCTGGTTTATGCAGAAATACGTCTTGACTCTTGCAACATAAGATTCCCACCTCTCGGGGTGAGAGACGTCGAATTCCGCTAAACGCCCAACTTTCGCCATGATCGAGGATCAGGGTCTTCTTCTTCAGCCGCACGCACCCTCCAGTGATTTCGTACTGGCAGGATAACGCTGACTTCCACGCCGTTTTCTCTTCCGGACTTCTTTGGGTGAGTCTTCAAGCTTTCCTAGCTGTATAGACTGGATCCCACCTTCGTCGCCAGTGTTAAGTCCAGAGAATAATGGCGCTTGAGACGAAGCATTTCTAACAAGTCTTTATTCTCTGCTTCCAATCTACGAACAACCCGAGC